GAGTATTAATTGTAGTGTAGAAATAACGAACGTATGGCTATATCGTATGGTGCCATAGCGGTGGTAGTGGTAGCTGAACAGGTGGCAGTGGGAGGCCGCGGTTATTTATGGCAAAAGTTAGTTTCTCGGGAATTACTCGTGGCCGAAGAACACAATTCGGTAGAGCGGAGGCAGGAGACTTGGACACGGTAGGAATTCGGAGGCGACGAGGTTGAGTAAACTGAATAATATTTATGATTCGATCCAGGAACTAAAGCCGGAATCAAAAAAATAAAGATAAATTGATTAGAAGTATTATGTATGGTAGAAAGCGGAGGGTGGATTAGTGTGGTAGATTTCTTATTTTTTTTTGGGGGGGGGATTTTCGCGGGTAGAGATAGGATATTTGTAGACCAGAAGTGATATGCCAGACGACGACTGGGGCAGCCAGGATCCAGGGGGAGACAGCGACAGCGAACACCGCAACTCTGGACTGTGCTCTTGTAACTACTGGGCAAAGTACCGGGTACATGCGCTGGGCTGGTAATGATCGATCGTTGTTTCGCTGCGTGATCACGCACGTATCGCACGTATGGTTAGATTACAAACGCGCCGAACAATCAAAATCCAAGAATACAAAGAATACGGGCAGGACATAAATACATAAAATACATAAATACATAAATTACAGTCTGCAGGTCACGGGGTGTTGTTGCAGACAACCAGCCATCAGCTTCCCCACAAAAAACAGGGCGTTTGGACTCTGGTCCCAATCAAAGAAAAGTAAAAAAAGAAAGGAAAACCATACCAACGGACGGTCATGATCATGGAATTATCATTACGTGGCCTTCGTTTGGAAATACGCCCCACAAAATCCTAATCCAAGCCAGGAAATCCTCACAGGGCCGAAAAAAGGAAACAAAAACACTGGCTCGATTCCGGTTTGTTCCTACACACCCTATTGCCTCATCCGCAGGTTCCCCGTTTCCCGTTCCCTCGACTCCAGCTTGTACCGGAGATCACGAGGCGGTAAAAAAAGCAACTCTACTAAATAATTACTGATACTGTATTAAATATATATGGCATGTCAAATATATACAAGGTTGCTGGTATTTATGTATCGTATTTGGGATGGCAGGTACCAGTATTTCAATACGCAATATTATAACCGCGTCCAAACACGTTGGTTATTGCAAACAAGACTCGGTCCTTGTGTGTACAGTACATACATGAATACATAGTTTGCATGTATGTACTTCTGGCCCTTGCTGGTCCCCCTGGCCCCAGCTCCCCCAAGTACCCGAATCAGTGGACTGAAATCACAATCTCGCCAGGGAAGCACAGAACCCGGCCGAGGAACAGCTTACTGTTCCTCGGGTAGCCTGATGGGGAGAGGTTACAGGTCTCACCATACCCCATTCCACGTAACCGTATCATCATTTATGACATCTCATTCCCAAACTGGCGGAACGGGGGATGTGGGGGCCCGGATTCAGGTCTAGACGCCCAGCTGAGAGAGCTCCAGGACTCAGGAGTCAGGGCCGGCTCACATGGCCAAAGGCAAAAAGGCAATAAAAGCCAAAATCCCCAATTTGCAATTTTCTCCATGGACAAAGCATTGACATTTCCCCCATTCCGGATCGGGCTGAACCCGCCAGAGAGGTTCCTTTCTTTCGCGGGTTTTGCTTTCTTTCTCGCCCTTTATTTCTTTTTTTCTTTTTTCATTCTTTGATCCATTCATCACCCCGGATTTCAAAACCCAAAACAAACTCATTAAAACCTCATACGGAAGACCATCAAAGTATAATTAGCAAGGGGAAAAGGGGGGGGGGGGGGGGGGGGGGGAAACAGGGGAAAAAACTAACCAACTATTTCCCCCCTTCAAAAAAAAAGGGAAAAAAAGGGACAAAAAAAGGGAAGCCGCATGCGGGTGAAACCGCCCATTTTTTCCCCGGCCGGGAACCCCTAATTTCCGAATCCTGAGAAACGGCCATCACACTTATTAACTTTTAAAAAAATCAAAAACACTCGCGCGACCTCGGACCATTAAACCCGCACCCGAGCACCGAAAAATAGGCCCAAAGGGAAGAATCCTATTGGTGCTTAACGATCTTGTAGAGTGGTTATAGAGGATCCTAACTAACTACCTTCATGGTATATGTACTGTAAATGTCTCTGTATCATCATTTTATTTATTTGACCCTGTTCCCTGATCACAATCGCGATCCCCTGGGCCATTATATCATCAATCAAAATCAAGCGCGAGTGGCTGTGGGCCGAGTGGCTGTTCGGTCAAGTCAGTCAGTCAGTCAGGAACGCAGGGCTCGATCCTAGCTTTGTCTCTCACTGTTCTGTCACTGGATAGATATCTCGTCCTGCATGGATACTATGGATGCAGGGAGTGAAGTGGGTGAAGGGCAGACAAACAGACAAAGCAAGCCAGGAACCCCCCCGTTTGTTCGTTTGTTCGTTTGTTCGTTCGTTAGTACTGAACTACGGGGTAACTGACAGGAAGTAATCTCACAAAGCTGCGTACGCAGGAGCAAATGCACGATCCCTCCGCCTTTCGTGGATAAGCAGGTTTCCCCCAGATTGCCCAAATAAGAAACTCGGGGACGACATTGAACAGGCCAAAGCCTTGCTCGCGCACCTTATCTTTCGCCTTCAAGAAAAGCAAAGTCCCTTTTCTTCGCAGCCCGCACCTCCCTTCCCCGCAAAAATGTCAGATCTCGAGCCGGGGTCGAAAAAGCATCATGAATCATGCATTGTTGCTTGATGATGAAACAGACCACAACAAAGGCCACATCATCCCATCCAACCAAACAGAAAATTATTGTATATACTAGTTAGGAGTATTGATAACATTACTCAACCAAGCATCATTCAGGCGGTAGATTTTTTCCATCGATAAAGGTCCATAGATGACCTAACCCATCAAAGAGGTGAACAGCATGGAATCGTGTTATTACTGTTTCTTTCAACCAACCCGTCGCCCACTCCGTGCCAACTTGTTAAAAGGGTCATATTAGTAGTAATAGTCTGTGTTTCAGCAAACTCACTGGGGCTCCCCTTCTTCCTTGTGTCACGATCGCCGAAATATCAAAAATTTAAAAGCACAGGCTTTCCTTCGTCTTCCTCTTCCCCCTCTTCTCCTCTGAAAAAATTTGAAACTAGCGCCAACACAAACTGAACTTCAAACTCCTGTGTTGTGTACGTGTGTGCGTGTGTGCGTGTGTGCGTGTGTGCGTGTGTGTCAAACAACCCTGTTGATATGATAATTCACTCCATAAATGATGGTGACACAAATATGATTACCATCGCCGTCCCTTCAGTACCCCGGATTTTCATCGCAGCCGCACAGGGGATATGTGGATATGTACGGTTCCCCCCCTACACGGACAGATTCATAAATGCCGAAGGCGGCTCCTCCTCAGCCTTGAATGAATCATGGCTCAAGGTTTCAAGTTCCATCGCGCGTCGGCCATCGCCAAGAGCCAAATGCCGAGTGCAGGGATGTGCCAGGAGCGGTATCTTTCCTTAATAGTAAGCACTCAAGAATATATATCTAGTGGAGACCGCTACCTTCCTATTCGATGGATGTTGGGCTTGCCAAGAGAGGTCGGTACCATACCAACATCACATGGCTCCGGTGTAGATGCAAATATTTATATTTGTAGGGTACAACGCTGGGATTTTCTGTCGATGCGATAGAAAAGCTCCCAAACCAAAGCATATTTTTATTTCTGCTTGTCATGTTGAAAAGTTTTCCACGACGGATCCAACCAGCGTTTCAACGAATAAAAAAAGAAACCCAAAAAAAAGAGAGCCTGTCCCCCGCTCCACCAGGCTATCTCGTGTTGACTAAAATTGGCAACCCTGCGCTTACAGTTTTGATCAGAGAGTAGCACCGCCATTATCGATACTAGTACTCTTTTATACTCCGTAGAAATACCACGATTTATTTTAAAGTTCCATTGTTTTCTCAGCGATTACTATTTCATTTTTCTCGGATGGAGGTGGAAGGTTGGTTCATTGTAAATTAAAAATCTGAATATTTTAACTTATCAATGATACAGCACATCTGCAAAGCAGTGAAAAGTATTATATTCAACATTTTCAAAAGCAGAAATATTCAATAATAATCAATATTATATTAATTTATTTAAATAAAAATTGAAATATTTTATTAATATTTCATTTTTTATAAAATTCAATCATGATTCTGATCTGAATACTCATGATTTTTAAACTGCTTTTCAGATCATTCAAATCAATACATCAATCTGATTTAATTTATTTATTTCTGTTTTAAAAAATAAACACATCAATTGAAAGAGCTATGAATGAAACTCAGATGAAACAATATTTATTAAATAATTATTTATTATTATAAATATTATATATCATTTATATTTTTTGAAAAATTTGAACTTCTTCAGCTTTATTCTCTCTGCATATGTTCATAACTCAAAAATAAAACAATAAATGATAAAAATCATTTCTGACTTTAAACTCTGTCACAGTTATATAATGAGAAATAAATTGATGATGAAAATTGTTAAACAGAAGAAAGTATGACTTGATATTCTTAATTTATTAATATTTTTATTTAACTTTTCAAACTTTTAATAAAAATTGATAATCTTTATCATTTTTTGATATATTCTTTAAATTTTTATCAACTTCTGAATCAATCATTTAATTAATTTTTACTGTTAGATTAAACTTTAGCAATTTGTCAAAGATTTTCAAGCTGTTATAATTTACAACAATATAAATTTCAAGAAGACTATATAAAATAAAATAATTAAATAAAATGATTTTATAACTGCAGTAATTACTGTTGTTGTGATTATTTCCTTTGCAATTTCAGAATTTGATCTAACTCAAATCATGTATGATTTCACAAAATCTTTAATATTTAAAAAGATCATTGATGCATCTGATGTAGCAGATAATGATTATAAATTTCCCAAAAAAAAAAATAACATTGTGTCTTATTTCTGATGCTATTTAAAAAATTAATGATGAGAAAATTAAAAGTGTTTTCAATATTGCAGATGATTTACTATCTCAAATATCTGCTCTTAATATAATTTCTATATATAGAATGTGTTTTCAACAGTTGAAAACTCTTTTTGAAAATGAAAGTACTATTGCAGAAACTATAAAAGTTTATAAAAAAATATTTAATGATTATTTTGATTTATCAAGAAATCATACCGTATTTTCAACTCATTTCTCCCCCGGTGGCCGAATAGGTAATGCGGCCACCAGGCAGCGCCTTGGCGTGGGGACCCAAGGCGCGTGGGTTCGAAACCCACAAGGGGACAACATTATATCCGGAGCCAACTTCTCAGCTCCTGAAATAAAGGGATGTGAACTTGCCAAGTAGGTACCTTCGGGCGGGCCTATTACCTGATTTAGCTTATTATTTCTGGGCTGGAAACCTGTATCGCGAGTACCAAATCCTGTCTTTCATTAATTTTCCTATGTTTCTGTTATATTCTTGGCGTCATTTAACACTAAGCATTCCTCCTATATAACCAACTCTTGCCTGTATTTAACATTACATAAGGACTCGTCATAAGCACTGCTTGCATACGAGTATAATGGAAGAATAATAATAATAATAATTAAATCTACTTTCAATTATCATTCATACTCATTTTGAAGCAGAGCTCTCTGAAGAGGCTCATCATTGTATTCAATCTGATTTTATTTATTGAAATCAAAATCTTATAACTTTCATCAATCTCAAATATTACTTTTTTGAATCAATGATTTCCCAAAGCTTTGCATCTCAAAGTGTTACACTATTTTATACAGCCATGCAATATCAAGATTATTCAATTGTTAATCACGAACATTCAGAAGATATCAATACTATTATTCAACAATTTAATTATTTACAATATCTTCAGTTTATTGAAGATGTATACATCAATGCATTTACTTTTAATATCTGAACAGAAATTGATTTTTAAATCTCTCAGTTTATTCAAGATATTAAATTCTATATTATGTGTCATTTTTTCTGAAAATGTAAATTATTTATTTGATTATTATTATTATTATTCTTCCGTTATACTCATATGCAAGCAGTGCTTATGATGAGTTTTTGTGTAATGTTAAATACAGATAAGAGTTAGTTATATAAAAGGAATGCTTAGTGTTGAATGATATTAAAAATATAACAGAAATATAAAAAAATTAATGAAAGATAAAATTTGATACTCATAATATAGATTTTTAATTCAGAAATAATAAATTAAATCAGATAATAGATTCATCTGAAGATATCATATCAAGGCGCTATCTGATGGCCGCATTACCTATTCAGCCACCGGGGATATTGATCAGATAAGAATTGATAAAGAAAAATCAAATTACATTACCCACTCACTAATCATCAAATCCGCTTAGAGAAATCAGTTGAATAAATATCTTTTTTGTTAGAATTGTATAAAATTGAAAAATAAAACTCTTTTCATATTCAATTCTGACAATGAATAAAATGTCATTATATTCATATATCATGCATTGAAGTATATGAACCTGTTCTATATACAGTTGAAGAGTATACTTAGAATCTGAATGTGAGTTTTGAAAAATTCATTAAAAACAATACTTAACAACATTCTGTTGCTTATCAATACTTTCAGATTCAATATAGCTCATAACAATTTGTAATATATTTTCAATTTTCATTAAAAATATTTATTTTAATAATATCTTTTAAAGCTGTTATTGTTGCTGATTTTTATATTTTCTTTAATTCATCTTGATCATATTCAGTAGAGTTGTCTAACTCAGTTGTCAAAAAAAATGTTATATGATTGATTCAGAAATTGTTGAAAGATTTTAAATATTGTCAAAGTTAATGTGTTATATGAAATGATTGAATTATATAAAGTTATCAGAAATTATCAGAAATTGTCAGAAATTATCTGATATTTTCAGAAAATACTCTCAACGCTTTGATTAAAACAATTAATAATTGAATATATATTTTAATGACAAGATTCAAATATTGAGTAACTGAATATAATCATGATTGAAAAATTAATAAATCATTCCCATATTCAAAAACAGAGTAACAGTTTTCAATACAATATTTCATACTCCAATATAAATATTTTCAGATAAAAATTAATTCAATTAATAGAAAATTGAAAAATAATTTTTCAAGATAATAGAAAAATGATTTATAAATGAGATTGTATAATGATTCTATTTCAAACATTTTGATTGAAACAAATTGTTCTCATATTGCTAACAAACTGAAACTGTTTTTTCTCAGACACTTCATGAAGAGTTTGCTGAGAATGTTTCATTTAGATTTAGTGTAAGCTCCTTGACAGCTGATTTACTGAGATAACGCAACACTGCTCAAAGAGGTACGATCACGTGGCATCAGCAACCATTTAGGTAAGGCATGCCTTACGCCGTAATTATAATTATTATTTTATATTTTATTTTATCTATATTTCAACTAAACAACTGTGAGCAAGGATAGCTTTTCATTGTATTGTTTTATGTTATTTTATTTTATTTATATTTATACATTTATTTATATATTCATATATATTTTAGAAACGCGGGGAAGGTGGATGGATGGCCTAGAACTCGGAAGTCTCCAGCGAACCTGGCTGGCTGGAATACTGCCAAATCGCGTTCCGTCTCTCTCTCCCCTCTTCAATCGGAAGCAGGAATGAAAACTAAATAAAAATTCCAGCATTGACACCCAATCAAAACCCCGCGGGCGCGGTCATGCTCTCGCCGCCAGGAACCATGACTCCATGTGGCACATATCGACTGAACATGTTTCGTGGCCAGGCGGTTGCCGATCAAACATGCCATCACCTAACGGCGCCGGCCCGCCGTCCTCAAGGACGAAGGCTTCGGATAATGGAATTCTAATCCCCGACCCTGGATGCTGGAGTTACAGTATGTCCAAAAGGGAGTCCAAGAGGGTATTTTATAGCCGAGGGAGGGGGATGATAGGCTGATATTTAAGTATTATCACCCTAGTTTATTTTATAATTTTTTTACTTGCTTTTGATAAGTTATGTGGTGAGAATGTAGTGGCTTGTCGGAGAGAGAGAAAAAGTAAAAAGAAAAACTTTGTATCTCTTTTTCTCGCTCCTTTTTGAGTCTTGCAACGATCGCTCACTCACTAGTCATGATTCTCACTGGCGAATAAAATGCGTCAGGAAGTTCTATCCCTCTCTATTTTATTCTCTCTCGAGTGATCACTGATCACTCATCACTTTTTATTCCAATGCTGAGAGCTCCAGCATGGCGCCATCCATCCACACATCACACTCTATGTGGTATGTGCGATGGTCGGCGTCGATGTGACGGCGGGAACAATGTCGGATGAACAGCCACAACGTTAACTACTGCTAGTACCGTTTTGACGCCACCATCACCACGAATACCGGGTTTGTCATTGATGGTTGGTGACTGATTGATTGATTGAATTGAATGATTGATGGACACGGTAGAGATCAAAACCCAGCCGTTCGCCTTTCAGGGGCCCAACACCGTTGTCATGTAGCTCCTACTGCACAGCGGCAAATCAACCGATCGACGATCTAAATCTCTTCAGTTGAGGGTCACCAACTGGCACGTCAGCGAACGGCATGACCATCTATCTAGGGAGTACTCCGTACTCTAACGAAGTATATCCGTATATAAATAAATAAATACGTTTTCTGTCCCGTGTCCGAAGGATATATGCATCCTCCAAGCGCGGCGCCAGCTTTTCTTTTTTTTCTGTGGCGGTCGCGTCGCGC